TACGTTATATTTAAAATAAGGACAAGAAGGATATTAAGATAAGCGTGCTTCTTAAGTACGCTGTAGTGTTTGAAGCAGGCGAGGTATTCATGTGAGATGAATGTATTTAGCGAATTTGTTGACTTCACAATTAATTTTTTTTCTTCCATCGGTGGAATATATAATAATTTCTATACACTCGTATAATGGTATATGTAGATATATGAATACATCTCACACTTAAATGCATTCAGAAGTGCGTGCAATATGCAGATAAATTATGTGCATCTAAATGAATTTGTCTGCGAGTCTGCACGAATTTCTATAGAAATTAATAAAGTGTTAAATATATCTTTTAAATTATATTAAGAAAATATATCTTTTTTATGAACATAACTCTATTCTTTAAATTATTAAATATAAAGATTTTTTCTATACTATATATTGGATTAAAGTTAAAGTTTTTTGGCCAAATACAATTTCAAACGATCTATGTATGGTCTCTAACTCAGCAAACACCTATGAGAAACGAAATTAAAAAGCGCAAATGGGAACGGATCGTTCACACTCTGCGTAGATCGACTGGTGACACCGCAAGAATGGCGATTGAGTGGAACCCGATGGGTAGTAGAAAAAGGGACAGACCTGCTCTCACCTGGAGAAGGCAAACCGACACGAAAATGTTACACATGCGGAAAGGCTGTAGAGAGTTGAAGCTATTGGCCACCAATCGTACCGAGTGGAAGTTATTTGTTACGGCCCTATGCTCCTCCTAGGAGTTAAAGGATAAATATATATATATATATTGGTTTATTTTTTGAAGCAACAATGATTTCTTGAATACTCGTATAATATATAAGAAAAACATAAGATTCAGTTAGCTGAAGCTTCTATCACATTTAAAGAAATTTAACACAATAAATGGCATTTATTACGATCTAAATTATTACGATAAATACAATTTAATAAATATAATGTGGGTGATATAACAATATACTATATTTTATAAATGTGAAATAAAAGGTTTAGTTAGCTGAAGCCTGTAACACATTAAAAGAAATTTATCACAATAAATGGTATATAAATAAATAAATATAATTAAATTAATAATATATGATGTGAGTGGTATAAAAATATTCGCAGTTTTAGGGTACATTTTAGAACAAAAAAATTTTTTTTTTATTAAAAATTAATTTTTATCAAATATAAATTGATCATTATTTTTCTTGATCTGTTTCTGATCTTTAACTTCATAATTCCATCGGCGTATAATTTTTGTGATTTATCGGTTAAAAACGGGACCCAGTAGTTTTTAGTGACTCTTCCATTGTACAATTTTTATCATTAAGATTATTTTACAGAGATCGAAACATAAAGTAGTCAGATGGTGCAAGGTCCGGACTATATGGTCGATGCATCAAAACTTCCAAACAAAGTTCTATCAATTAGTTACAAGTCATTAACGATGTCTGTGTGTTGGCATTGACATGATGGAATACAGCTTCTATACTCTTGGCAAGTTCTGATTCGTAATTGTGAGTAGAGGATTGAGGATTGTACTAAATTGGAATAGGATGTTATAGACAATTTTCTTCCCAACAGTGGTGGATCACTGGGCTTTATTTATTTTCGCTTGCCTTATAAATACTCGCATTTAATCCATTTTTTATCGCCGACAATAATTCGCTTAAGGATTCAATTTCTTCGCGATTTTTTTGCGGATTACATTGATGGTAATCCGGTTAATCAAATTTTTTGACATTAATTTATATAGTACCCAAACATCGAGTATTTTAGCGTAGTCTGCTCTTTTTTAAAATGATTCCAAACTATCAAGTGGTTTATTTTAATGCCTCCATTTCGGTTTTTGCTGGTTGGCAGCAGTTGTAGCCATTAGATAACTTTCATGTACCTCAATTAGCGATTTTTTTTTTAAATTATCACATTCCTCGCAAGAATCCTAATGTAGAAAAGTAGAGACTAAATCCATCCCGCTGAATTTAAATAATTTAATAGATCTTTCGTCTTTACCAATGAACAGTCTGATACCCTATTAACGAAGTATCTTCCTATGAACTTCTATCCTCTGGACGACAAAACCGGGCATTCGGTTTTAGTTGTTATAATCATCAAGAAAACGGTTTTTGAATATGTTGATAATGAGGTAATGATGGTGAATAAGTAGTTTATAAGTAAAGTTACTCTTTAGTTTATAAGTTACTCTTTTATACTTTTAATTAATTAAAATTAAACGCTAATTAATTAATTTGATTAAAAATTTAATTAGTATCTATTAATGACTACTTGTTTAAATAATTAGTAAATAGTAATTAAATAATTACATTTACAACCACTATTTTATAAATTTCCTCACTTTATCTACTTAAGATTACTTCAAAATTCTTATTAAAAAGTTAAAAATTAAAAATGTTCATTACTTAATTAACAACATATATAGTAAAAGTAAAAATTATCTATTGAAAATCATATTTAACTTACAATATATAGAATCATTTAAAACATTATTATTACTAATAAATCTTACAGATACATTTGAAAAACTCTTCTAACTTCAACGATGTGTTTTTTTGCCATAAAATTAACAATAAACAAATAAACTTTAATAACTTGCGAGTGTTATGGAGTGTTGATTTATATGTAATATAAAAATAGTTTAAACTAAATCTTTATAAAAATATTAGTATTAAAATATAAAAATTTTATTATCATTTCTGCATTTCGCTGCTAGCATAATTCAATTTAAAGCCATAAAAATCCTGTCACACATTCGCGCTTATTTTTACTTTCTTCGGGGATTTGAAGTGGCCTAAGTCCATTGAAAACAGTTTCTTCCGTGTGTAACTGTCAAAGATAGATTTCGGTGTCCCAATGTTGGCATATATGGATTTGTATCGACACACATGTGAATGTGCTCAGCATTCCGGTTGATTGCATCTCTACGTGTATCTGCAAGATACTCTGTACTTGCAGTGCTGCCTCCTCTACGTGTGCTTACTTATTGCGTCAATGGAGCAGATAAACTTTTTACGACATATCCACACAGTAGCAGTAATAACAGCAACAATAACAATAGCAACAACAACAACAACAACAATATCAGTGGAGGGATATATAATATAGTACATATCTGACATCAGAGATATTATGAGTGCAAGCAATAAAACAATAAATGAATTTATGATTGTTTTTTATATCTTTTCACTGTTGTTGTTTTTTCTGTTTTGTTTTTGTTGTTATTTCCATTGTTTTATTATTTCGTTTTTGTGTGACTCTGCGATAAAACTTTTGATGACATTTCACAGGACTTGATGTGATTGTGGCAGGTGTAAGTATCGACGGTATCTAATATCGCTCGTTACCTTTTCTTCTGAGATACATTAGAGTGCATGTTGAGTTCTAAATCTTTATCTTGTGCTTGTTCTTTTGCTGCTATTTTTTTTAATTGCTTGTCAAATGTCAAGTTAAGTTTGTTTTATTTAATTTTGTATCTTTTTTATATATTAATTTTACTTTGAGAATGCTTTTTTATGTTATTTGTCGTGTGGTTTTTTTATATTATTTTCACAGCATTTGTTTTGTATCTCAAGATTTAAATTTTTTATTTATAATTGCTCTATAATGAGATTTGTTTTGAAATTTAAAAAAAATGTTTTCTTTGAAAAGATAAATTATATTAAGCCACATAAAATATTAATGACAAAAATTAAATTTGATTTATGAATTATTAAAGTAAAATTTATACATAAACTAAAATAATTTGAAAATATTTTGAAAGAAATTAATAAATTTAAGTTTTAAAGTCAGCTATAATGAAAGAAACTGTTTTTCTTATAAAAACCATTTTTTTAATTAAGGTTTTTTCGAACAGTTTTAAAGTGCAACAACAAAATTTTTTTATTTAAATTTTTATTAAATTATTTGTTAAATTTTTTTGCTAAAAGTGACGCGTCTTATGACAAAAAGAAATTATATATGGACTATAATTAAACAAAAAGTTCGAATATTTCCTAAGTTCACTGATGATATGTAATTGACAATATTCGAAATATGATCAGCCAAATTGCAATAAATTAACTAAAATTTTTGTTGTTGTCTCTTCATTTCTATTTGAACCCTTTTAAAATTTTATTATTTTTAATTAATTGAAAATAATTAATTAATTTTGGCTGTTTCGAATTTACTCAAATACTCAAAATCAATGGTCTTTTTGGAAGTATTTTTTATATTGATTATTTGCACATAATTTTGTTTATTTATATAATAAATTTGTCAAGAAAATAATGTATTTCTTTTATTTGGTTTTTCTAGAATCGAATAAACTCTAGAATTTTGTGCCAAAAGATATTATTCGATTTGCCAAATCCTAATAACTTAAAATAGTCTTAATTTGTATGAGTTAGCTTAGAAGATTCTATTGTTCGATTTAACAAATTCGAATAGTTTAAAATTGCTAGTACTTATTTGTAGAGGTTATTTTAGAAGATTCTCCACAATATTTAATACACGTAATATACGTAAATGACTGTAATTGTGTTTTTTTCATGAAGTTGAAAATCTATTCTCTTAAAATAAATAAATATATTATTAAACTATATAACGTTCATTCTTGTCCAATAACTTTTACCAACATTTTGGCAGTAGCTTGATTTCACGCTTCTAAAACTCCTTTAGTTGATTTTTGCGCTCCTTATTTGAAATAAAGATTTTTTTTTAAAACTTCATTTTATTATATACAATCTATTCTATGCATGAATAATAAGTACTACTTATGGCAATAAATAAAGATGATAGATCTCACAAAAAGCAGTATCCATCTAAAATAATAATTATATTCATCATTCCTGAAGATTATTATA